CGAGCCTGTGCCACTCTGCCAGGGTGCTCTGAGACAGGCTGCCTGGCTCGAAAGCCACCACCGCCCTGCCGCGGCGGGAGCCGAGGGCACGAAGGGCGTCGAGGAGGCAAGTGTTGTCGTTGCCGTAGATGGATGGCTGTACGAGGACGATATTGTCGATGCCGACGGAGGACTCGAAGGCGAGGGCGTGGTCAAGGCGGTGCGTTTTGGGGCAGTAGACTGCGTCCTTTGCCAAGGGGTAGGCGGCCGGGTCGACGACGTGCATATGTGAGTCCCACGCTCCGCGGGGGATCCGCTCCGGGAGAGTCAGCCTGCGCCGTGCGGGAGTGGTGCTGGCGGCGACGACTCTGGATATTAACTTGTCGTCTTTGTGCCGTGTAGTTGGTGCCATGATGGGCTGGAGGAGAGCCATGATGGACTTGATGTGATGGAGGAGAGTGGAACGGGCCTGGAGGATGGGCTTGGTTTGTAGCATGGTGAGGGAGACCCTATGTGTAAGAGATGAGAAGGCCCGGGTGGAGGCGAAGAGGTGAGAGAGGTTGCTGATATTGCGGGCGTTACTGCTGCTGCTGCTACTGCTACTGAGGAGGAGTTGATGGGACTCTAAAGGACCGGGGGTGGTTGAGGGCTGAGAATGGTATGGAAGGGATGAATTCTTCTCCTCGCGTGAACAAACTGGCGACAGGACCGACAACACGGGGTTTCTGTCATCCGCAACTGTTACCACGATGGGGGTCGGCAACGGCATAGGAGGAGGAGTAGCAGCAGCAACAGGTGTGCGATGACGGCGGCGGTGCGCCTGCACATATGGACGTCGGCCCATTGCGCTTGGTGAGATTCCGCCGAAGGCCCGGCACGTCGTTGTGTGGATCATTGAGTTGCAGCATCCTCAGGAAGATGGCCGGCCGTATAATAGAAAGAGGAGATGTGGTTCTCCAGTCCGCGCCCGCCTCCGTTCTCCAGCAGGAGGAGCATGCAGGTGTTAGCAAGTAGTAGGAACGATAGTGGAGATTGTTGACCCGTAGATGGAGAGAGTTTGAGGGAAGAGGAGACCGGAGTGGGAAAATAGAAAGAGAACGAGAAAAGATGGCAGGCCTCTGCTGTGTGGTGTTTTTGGTGGTTGAGTTTTTGGTGGTGCGTTGGGCTCGGAGGATGACCGATACCACAAGGTAGCGCAGATGCGGCTTTGCGTGATGTGGTGTAGTTGCGGACGGGACGGCGATGTGCGCGGTGTCTTTTCCTACTACGGACTTTCACGTAGGTGTCACCGTGTAACTCCAAACTACCTTTACGCATACATTATTTCACCTATTTTCAGCACACACACATGCACCCGTGGAACCTGACCGACGGAAGGCCATGCAGCGGTGTCAAGTCACAAAGTGGAGGGATGATTGGCCTCCAAGCCCTCGGGTTATTGGACAGCGGCGCCTTAAACTTACCACGGACGTGGAGAGAATGCCTGCAGAGGCTACGGATACTTGCCGTGGCTAGGTGCCCTTAGTCGTACTAGGTAGTGCAAGAGAGAGCAAGCGAGCAAGCAAGCAAGCAAACCAGCAGCGTGGCAGCGTCACTTTGGGCTCGCTGTTCGCCACGAGTCAGGGCGCGGACCACCGACGTACGGCTGCGAGGGCCGTCGGAAGTTGACCGAGAGTTGAGAGAGACTCTGACAGAGAGTGCCGGTAGCAGAGAGAGATCAGCGGTAGGCTGCTGGCAAGAGAGATGGGATGGACGAGTGGCCTGGAACCCGGCCGGAAGCCCCCCGGGAATACCGTCTCGACGCCAATGTATGGAGTAGGCTAAGTCATGTAGCTCTGCTGCGAACTTGACGTTGGGGGGTACATTGGTCCCTTGCCTTAGCCCAAGTCCGGCACTTGTGCGGCGCAGCGGGAGGGAAGGGCTGTGATGAGATTGGACTCTTGGAGACTCTAGCAGACTCTTGGGGAGACTCTAGTAGAGAGCCTGAGAGTTTGGGAACTGGATGAACGCAACTCCCGGCCGATTGTGGAGTGACATTATCCGTACTAAGATTGTTGCCCCCCTCCATCATCTGTAGCCTCTCCTCCAGGCTCTTCTTTCACCCTCCGCCGGCCTCCCACTCCTGCGACCTTTTTTCGTTCGGTCAACGTCCGATGTCCTCCTGCGAAGAGGTCTGAAGTCCTACCGAGTACTGAACCCATACCGTTCACCCCCACACTCTTTGCTGCACGAGATCTCCTCTCGCGTCTCCTCTTCTTGCGCCGCGCGATCGCCCGCCGAACGAAATCGTGGGGTTCGAGACCAGTTGAACCAGGGCAACACACCAGGGGCCCCATCCAAAAATCCGGAGAACGTCGAGAGAGGGTTACCCGTTGGGCCGTTTTCCCATCGAAAGGGAGGCCCAGGCCGCGCAGCCGTCTTTTACCCCGTGGGATAGGATCGAGTTCACCCCCTCACCCAAACCCCGCGTTTTCTTGTCTTGGAGCAGACGACGACGGTTTTCCGTCACACGGGAACGAGATTCGAGGGCGTAAAGTGTCTACGAAGGAGCGAACCCGAGAAACCACATAAGTGAGGCGAGGGATCGGAGGGGGTAGTGGTGCGAGCTCGTCCCGTCTGAGATTGCGTGTCGGAAAATAGGGGGCAAAAATTACGACTGGAACGAAAGAGACTGAAAAATTCTTCTTTTTTGCATTTCATAACCGCATACACTCTTTTCTTGGTTTGCGCCCGCAACCAAAACCTCTCGTTCCAACCCCGTCCCAAATCCCTTCGATATCGACGCAAAGGAAGGGCGTCGCAGGGGTTTTTAAGATGGTCCAATTCAACACCTATTATCTCCTTACCATCATCGTTATCTCGTGCGGGTCTATTCCCAAGGGTAAGTAATCAGTTCCCGTTAGATCTTGCGGTCAACATCCGTCCGACCTTGACAGGCGATCCGTCCCTTTTTTTACTCCACCGTCCACACACACCAAAAATCAACACCAAAATCCACGGTGCGCTGACTAGCTCCCCACGTAGGCTACGATGAAGGCGGGTTCAGCGCGTCAACGGGCCTGGCGTCCTTCAAGGAGGATTTCGGGCTGGTCTCGAGCCTCTGGAAGGGCAATGAGTCCGGTTTGGCTGACCGCAAGGCCAACATTTCGTCGTTTGGTGTCCTCGGCGCCGCCTTCGGTTCCATTATCGCGCTCGCCGTAAATGACCGCCTCGGACGATTGAGGGCGTGGCAGCTCTTCATCGCTGTCTGGATGACGGGTTGCCTGATGCAGGTCTTCTCGTCCGGCATCCTGGGGTTTATGCTATTCGCCCGGATATGGGGCGGGCTCGGCGCCGGAGGACTTACGGTTGTTGCGCCGCTGTACCTCTCCGAGATTGCGCCCGCGAGGTCGCGCGGTATGGTCGTCAGCATATACATGGTCGTGTTACTGTCGTTCCTCACCATTGGTAAGGCCACCCCCGGGAAGACATTCTGCGATCTCGTCGATTCAATGTACTGACCTACGGTGAATTAGGCTTCTTCATCAACTACGCCGCGAACGCGACCCTCGCTGCGACGAGGCTGCAGTACCGCCTCGTCATCGCCATCCCCCTCATCCCCGTAGGCATAGCCTTCGTCGCCTCCTTCTTCCTCGACGACACCCCGCGCTGGCTCGCCTCCCGAGACCGTGGCGACGAAGCGCTCGCCGTGCTCGCGAAACTTCGGCACGCCGACCCGAGCGACCAAGCTCTTGCCCATGAATACGACGAGATCCACGAACAGATCCGCACGCGGCAGCAGATCCTCGCCGACTCTTCGACATGGGCCATCATCAAGGACATTGCCACGATCCCTACCTACCGCACGCGCTTCCTCCTCGGTGCCGTCATGCAGACTGTCGCGCAGTGGTCTGGCGGGAACGGCATCACATACTATATCCCTGAGATCTTCCGGTACGCCGGTGTTGTTGGGGATAATACCTCCCTCATCACTAGTGGCGCGTACGGTGCTGTCAAACTTGTGTTTACAATGGTCTTTACCTGGGGTCTCGTTGACGTCTTCGGTCGTCGCCGGTGTTTCATCACGGGCTTGTTTCTGCAGTGCATCACGCACGTATACATGGCCATCTACATGGCCATCTGGATCGACGGTACGAACAAGCCGGCCTCCGATGCCGCGATCGCCTCCGTCTTTGTCTATGCCGTCGGCTGGTCCATCGGCTTGTGCACGGTACAATACCTGTACGGCACAGAAATCTACCCGACCCGCATCCGCAGCGTCTGCTATGCCAGTAACATGGCCCTGCACTGGTTTTTCCAGTTCGCTGTAGTGCGCGTGACGCCCAACATGTTTGTCAGCCTCGACGTATGGGGCGCGTACGTTTTCTGGGCGGTCGTCTGCGGCGTTGGCCTTGTGGTCCTCGGCCTGTGGGCGCCGGAGACGAAGGGCATCCCCATGGAGAGGATGGAAGAGCTGTTTAGCGGTCGGTGGTGGATGGGATGGAGGGCCAGTGTGGATTTGGACTCGAGCGAGACGAAGCCTTTTGGCAGAGGCGACTCATCGGGCAAGGAGTCAAAAGAAGCCCCATTTGCGCATGACCGGAAGACGGATGTCTGAGTTGAGGCCGGGATGCTTTCTTAGTTCATATTTATGAGTCTGTATGTTTCTTTTAATGATCACCAGATACCAATTGTACAAATTCATTTTCACTGTTCGGAATGGTTGTCACTTTGTTGGGTCCTCGTTGATTGGTGCTGATTCTCTGCCTGCCGGGGCTTCCCGGCCGAATGTCCGGAGCCGAACTCGGCGAATGTGGGCCCTCTCGGCCGATAGGTAACCCGCCAAGACGGGAAGGTGAGAAGACGATTGTCACCTGAAGGATCGGGACCCCTCACAGGGCAACGTCTTCGCGAACGCGTGCTCTTCGTCATCATTGTCATCAGCAAATTTCCTTTCACTTCTTCTTCCCAACTATAAATCACTCAATGCGTCTTCCTGGAGGTGTGTGTGCCTGACTGCGTCCGTCACAACGAAAGCAAACATGGAGAAGAGACAGCTCGCAGAGGCCCAGCCGCGGCCGGCATCCCCGCCCCCATCTCGGAAGCCGGGACTACGTCAACGGCTCATGTTCGCCGGTGTTCTCTTGGCTGTCGGTTTGTTGAACATTCACCTCACAAGAAAACACCGTCTAGACCAGGACCACGGAGGGGAGCTTGTGCCAAACCCGATCCCAGTACAAGAATCCCCGTTTGGTCGGTTCCCTCTACCCAAAGATCCTTTCAAGCTCATCCCTTGTACAAATGCTACCGTCCCGCCGGAACTCGATGACGCTCATCCCGAGGAGACGTGGTCGAAAACCTTTGATCCGGACCCATTCAATTGGAGCTGGGGAAACAAGACCGTCTCCGTTGATGGCAACGATAGTGACCCCTTCTCCGGCCGAGGCATCTACCTCTGCGGATATCTGGAGGTGCCACTAGACTACACCAACAAGTCAGACGACCGGATCGTTCGACTCGCAATCATCAAATACCAGGTCTCGGGCCTAGCCCGCGTAGGTGAGCCCGACAACGGCACCAGAAACCCACCCCCCGGCGGCAGAAGCGAGCGCACCCTCGTCATCGAACCCGGCGGCCCAGGTGGTAGCGGAACCTCGTACGGCTGGAGAGTCGCGGAGCAGTACACCAAGCGCTTCAGTGATGGCAAATTCGACGTGCTGGGCTGGGACCCGCGAGGCGTCAACATCACCCGCCCCTCCATCTCCTGCTTCCCCTACGACGTCGACAGAGACCGCTGGTCCATTCTGACGGGCCAGTACATCGAAGTGTCCGCCGACCCGAAGCGTCAGCTGCAGATTGCCGACGCGATGAACGACGCCACCTTCAAGGCCTGCTGGGAAGTCCACGGCGACCTCGGCCGCTTCATGGGCACATCCATCGTCGCGCGCGACCTGGAGGAGATCCGCAAGGCTCTGGACGAGGATGAGTTGACGGGATACCTCGTCAGCTACGGCACGGGGATCGGACAGACATACGCCAACATGTTCCCAGACAGTGTCGGTCGGGTGATCCTCGACGGGACGGAATACGTCCGCGATCACCGCGAACTAGGCGGCTTTGGGTGGACCGCGCTCGACAACGGCACCCATGCCTGGTACGACGGGTTCCTCGGCGAATGCATCAACGCCGGACCGGATCACTGCGCGCTGGCAAAGCTCAAGAGCAGCAGCGGGGAGCCCCTCGTGCTGAAGGATCTGGACAAGCGCATGATGTCCCTCCTCACGTCACTCATTGACCGCCCTGCCATCGGGTACACCGAAGAAAGCGGCCCGTCTCTCGTCACGTACTCGGTCCTCGTCGCCGCAATCTACTCGGCTCTCTACAACGCCCAAAGCTGGCCGGCCCTCGCACAGATGCTATACGAGCTCGATCAGGGCAACTCGACCCTGGCCGCTGCGTACCTGGAAGAGCGGGCCTGGCAATACGACCCGACGCTCCCCGCGACACCCAATAAGCGGCCCGCCTCGGATGAACTCGCCTTCATCGTCATCTGCGCAGATGCCTACGACGCGCCGTTGCCAACCGACGGTCTCGTCTGGTGGGAATCCCTTTGGGCCAACATGTCGTCTCAGTCCTGGGTCGCGGGCAACTCGCGCTTCTTCGATGTCTTTCCTTGCCAGCAGGTCCACAAGTACTGGCCTGAGCCGGTGGACGTCTACCGCGGGGACCTAAACCACACGCTCAAGAATCCGATCCTGTTAATTGCGGAGACGTATGACCCGGCCACGCCGCTGCGTAACGGGCGTAGGTTGTTGAACGAGATGGGGCGGAACGCGAGGTTGATTGCGCATCATGGGTATGGGCACTCGTCAAGGGATACGTCTGATTGCACGGAAGAGATTGCTAAACGGTATATTCTCGAGGGGACGTTGCCGGTTGAAGCGGAGACGGCGTGCTATGCCAACGAGAAGCCGTATCTGTATGGCGTCAAGGATAAGAGTGTGAAGACTGCGGCTGATGAGGGCTGGGAACCTATCGCTGCGTGGCGCGAGCATCAACGAGAGATAGCTCACATGCGTTTCTGAAAGTTTGGGGAGTGATGAGATCTGGGCTAGTGCGATGTACTAGAGAGCAAGCAGTGTACGTTAGCAGATAGGTACTAGAAAAGGAGGGACTGGAGCCGATTTATATCACAAACCCCCTTCCCAATGCCTGTCGGCTGTCCTATATAATGTCTGCAATCGACCTTGTAAACTCAGAAATTTCCGCCTAGAGTCTCACACAGCCTCTGAAAATGGTGCTGCTCGCAAGGCATCAATCTTCATCATTGTTTCTGACGAAAGCTGCTGGGACGCCCGAGGATGCACTTGTAACGGGCGCCTAAAGGGGAAATTCTACCACCAATCCTCTTGTGGTTATTCTCAGGGGTGGAACCACCCAAGCATCCTTCGATCAACACGACAGAAGGAGGTAAAAGACTTCCACCTACTTCTCACGACACTAGTATGCTCTCTGTCTTCTTCCCGAGCACCAAAGTGTCATTTATTAGTGACGTTCGTGAGAAAGGTCATCATTCAGTGTATGACTGCGGTGAAGAGAATCACGAAACCGCGGCTGCTGGTCTTATCCATGATCGTGTTAAGTGTCCGAGAGAATCTATTCTTGTCAGATAGAGAACGACTTCAGAGTGTATTTATATATTTTCTTAGTTCCTCATCTAGAGCCCTTTGGGCCCAAAAGGTGGCGCTGAGTTTTCATCCAGCGGATAAGCTAGTCAATGTAGCAATAACTTGGAGAATGGGTCTTGAGCAATGAATGTATCGAACCTTGATGACATTATGGGAAACTTTGAAACAAGTAAGTTCACGCACTCCTGCAAAAAGTCTAGGTGGCGAGTTTTTCACTCAAGCACGATGGCAATTGTAGGTCCAAATGGCCGTGACGCTGGTGTGCCCTTCCTTCTCAAGTCGTGAACACCTCGATTGTCACTAGGCAGCGATATTTAAATTAAAGCAAAAGTGATTTCGACAGAAACCTGATGCGGACACAGTTCTCGATCAACGAGACAGTTTGAGTCATGTGAAGAGTGTTTATAAACCATGATAGAGCGGAAATGTCCATGTCTTTTATGCACGAAGAGTGATAGTCTATGGTAGTTTAAATATCGCCGTATCTACTTGCAGTTGCAGTAGACACTTGAATAGAAGATTAGCAAGCCGTAGAGACTTTCTCATGGCAGGAACTTACAAATCTTGTGCAATGGCGCCGCCTCCGCCGGAGCAACCATCGTAAGCGCCACCCCCCGACTGACACTATTTTCAAGAATCAGTATCCGAGAGCCAACGGAAAAAGTTCAAAGGAAGTTTACCTTGGCCGGGCAGCCAGCGATGCAGTCTTCCTGCGTGCTGTAGACGTGTCCAGTCCAGGCGTGTGCGGTTAGAGGCGCTGTGAGGGCGATGACGAGTGTGAGGAGCTTCATTTTGCGATTTACGTAAAGATGGGTATTATAGTACAGACGTGGGTTGCGAGAGATCCAAGGGAGAAATGTCGAAGCTTTAGTTGGTGGAAGATGCGGTCTACTTATACAAGTTGGATTTCGGAGCATGCTACATGCAGTATCAATAGCACTAGCAACTGTCGACGCTTGTAAGATGCCAGATATCGGAGCCCGTGATTGTGAGTTCCCCTTCACCAGATCGTTCTACCTTAGATACTTGGGGTTGTCCCTGAAAGCTTATTAAATTGAGCTGGCGAACCAAAGTCTAATTTGTTGGCTTACGGGGCCAGTTGCTGGGAACTTACGCTGGTTGTAAGATATAACCTGGCGGTATGTTGTGGTGATATGATGCGACAGGTGCCTCTTTGGGCCGTAATACCCAGGCTCTAGTTCTATACAGCTACTCAAAGACTTTACTCATATTTAACACGCCTTCAAATACGTGTATAGCAAGTGGCTGGCTTATCTGCTCATCTTTCAGTCTGGGCTAATCTGCTGTAAAATGAAGGCAACAACGTTGCCCGGTTGAATAATCTGTACAAGTCATGCAACCACTGGCACTACGTATACTCGTAACAATCAAAGGCTTTAGTATCCACGCGCATTAATCAAACATCTACAACCCGAGAGCGAAAGAAGACCCCGGTTTTGTTGTATGGAGAAAGCCCTGGCAATCGAGACGCGGTCGTTCACCGCACCGCCGACCTATCCGACGCAGCTCGAGCATGACTCGATGAGAGGGACAACATAGGATTGGCCAATGAATGAGCTACGAATACGACAAATGCGTATTGGGCTGCTGTTGCAGACATCAACATGGTTCGCAAGCTTGACTCAGAGCAATAGAGCGCCCTGAACAGGTCAAGTTCCTTCCGACATCGCTGTTGTACTTGACCAACAGAGCATGTCGTGTATGAAGTCATGAGTGAGACTGTGTCGTCAGATTTTCTCCATTTCCAGGGCGCAAATACCGCTCAGACCAGAATTCTCCAGTGGGTACAATCTTTGCCTACCTTGGCGACGGAGTCTCCGGTCTACCACATCAGCATCCAAACCAATAGCTGATATTCCTTGTGTGCTCCGGATATCCGGGACCCCTCCGAGTCATGGTATCATACAACAGCGCGACATGTACATTCGTTCTGGGAAAGAGGACTACATGTACTTAGGTGCAATTTCGCCCATAAGAACCCCACCATCAATATGCCATTGTCGTGCTGTCGGGGGATTGCGGTTTTATCGAGCTGAAAAGTGTCCTCAAATCGCGTGTTGAAAGGCACTTCAGAGTTTGAGATGAACGCCGATAATTCATTCACTGTTCCGCAGATATCTACTCATCGACGCATAACGTGAGGTGGAAATAGTCTTAGCTGTTGGAAATGACGCGGATTTGCGCTCGCATGAAGCAAGAAGTTTGAAATCAAGAGCCTCCAGAACGATCACGAGCTAATGCACGTATCATAGAATTCAAAATCAGGAAAAACAATGCGACTTTGCAACAATTGAGCGACTCTTCTATATTCTGTTCCAAAATTTAATGAAAATCTGTCAAAATAGTCAAGTAAACTTAATGACGAAAAAGCCAACATGAATCCGAAAAGCTCAGTCGAGAGCACGTCGTCATTGCGGTATCTTCCGATCTCTAAGAGGATTTGACAGGTTGACGACAGAATGCTTCGTACACTGGATGTTTAAGGTCTAATCTCTTTATGTTTGACTGCAGCTAATCAGAATCAGCCCGTTGGAAGGCTAATTCAGAGAGGTTGAGGTATTATGAAGGTTTGATAGGGTGTGCGGCTAGTGACATCTATCTTTTCCAAGTTTCACTAAGTTTAAACATCGAACTAGGGTAGCCTGTGCTTGTTGTGTTATGTCCTAATCGTACTTAAGAATGCGTTCCTCAAGCCCGTGAATAGTTCGTAGAGGAAGCGCCAGTATAATTGGTTGGTTGGTCAGCGTGTTGGTTCTCAGCATCATTACTGAGGCCAGCTATACGTAACTGGCGCTGGAAAACGGACAGCATGGTGTTTTCGCTACTTCCTCGAGAAGAGTATCTGGTTGAGATGTTGACGGCGAGTTTTCGCAACATGGGTATTGATGTTGCCATGATTGTGGCTGAGATCTCAGCGCTTTCCCAGATGAAGAGGGTGCTTAATGTGTCTAGGGGAAGAAAAGGTTTAGTCTGATATGACCTCCAAGTTCATTCTCGAGGGCTCATAACCGGACATGTCAAAACTTACATATACTTCCGGAGTCGAATATACTGCGTGACTGTGGCCCGAATAGATATAAAACCTTGATTATCCCAGTAGCTCCAGCGCTGCAAACGACGTCAATGGACAAAATCCAAAATAGAGAATTGATGCACCGGATGCGGGACTGAAACTTACAAGATACCCATGCTCATAGCCACACAGATGCCGATCCGTTCGTGAGTGCTAAGATGAAGGGGCCATATGATTCTCCACGGTAGCAAGGAAAGAAAAAAGTCTAAAAAGGCCGAATATGCTATAGAGAGGAGAGTTAGCCAGTTCAATTCTGGAAAGAACCGTATGACAAAGGCAACATGAGTGTAATCACCATTGACAAATATCCCAAACGGAACCGACACTTCCCGTGGCCAGCATGGCTCCGGTCCGCCAGGGCTGCATGGGTTGAGAAATAACGGGAGCCACAGCGCGATGAAGAGGTTCATGGAGAAGATGATGAACCACAGCATCCATCGAAGCTTCCCCGTCATCAAACGCATGAGCGTGAAGGCAAATGATGTCTTGCTTAACGCCCATGCTGTGTTTGACATTATCCCGGCTGCCTTACTGATCTTGCTGTACTTGGGTACGTTTAATATCCCCGCAAACGTGGACGCACTTAGAAGCGCGACCCGAAGATATATCATGCATGTGAAGAGGACCTAGACATCGCATTAGAAGAACAGAAGAGAATCGCGGGATTGATTACGCAGAGATCCGTACTAACCCATGCCGAAAGTATGAGATAGTCGTCCGTCCCCAGCCGCCAACTTCTCAACGCCGAGACTCTCGCGTAAATCCTGAGAGCGAGAAAGGTCGTCGCGAGAACAAAGAGGACGACCAAGGACGCAATTGCTCGTATGGTTGACGACGGCAACGTATTATCCATGGTGTCCTTTCACGACGCCATTCTGACAGCGAGGTAGTAGCCGTGGTAAAGTCATGGGGCATTGAAAAGATGAAACACCAAGAAGATGGTCGGATTTCGGAAAGACGGCGGGAGCGGAAAAGAAAGACATTCAGTCACGGGCCACTAGAAGGAGCCAACCTCCCAAGCTTGGACCATTCCGTCACTGGCGTGATTCTCTTCAAAAGGGAGGCAGGGGAAAAAGCAAAATGTTGCAGATGATAGATCCCAAATTCATCTATGGCTTTCTCTTGACCAGTGAATTATAGGTGGTGACTATGTCTCCCGGGAAAGAGATTCCGGTAGTTAGCTTGATCCTTTGTACACATCCCTTCAGTTGAGCCAAAACACCTTTTGAACACTTTCGACTCGGATTGAATGTTTATACATGTGACATCGAGCGCCTTGTGGTTTCAAGCCTGGGCAGAAAGT